ATGGAGCTATGGCATCCCACCACACGCCCACCACTCACTCTCTGCAGCTGAGCTCTGCAGTCCCAAATCATTGTATAAATGACTACATTTGTGGTCCCGCTGAGCCCTTGCCTAGAGGCATTAGGCATAGCTCTGCAGCCCTTGCGAATCCAGCAGCAGCACCACCACCTTGTTTGTGCATTGCCAAAAGATAAAGCTATTTACACAAAAATAAAATTCACACTTACATAGTGAAGCTAACTCACCATGTAAAACGTTCTGCTCACTGCTTCCTGCTCCCGGATGTCTGGAGCTGCCTTTTTCTTTTACAGAGCTTCATACCAGAGAGACGCATCAGAGCTGTAAGAACATCACATGGCTAAAGACATGATGAAGATTAAAGTGGATAACACTCATCTCATTTAAGATAGCTAATATTCCCCCAACGGTGCTCACACCATTTTTGGAATCATCCACTTTAGACTTAATATAAGTCTAATATAAGTTCTTAATATAAGAAGGGGAATCTCAGATTTTATACCTGCCATGTATCCTGATTTTCTCCACAGCAATACAAAAGTGTCTGAAACAGCTTTTAAAGAAACTTAGATGCTAACTGTTCTTCTGTTTTATTTGTTCCCTCTACTTTAAGCTCTCAGGTTTTCATATTGCTGGAAAATTGACTGGCCCAGTCTTCTGGTTCTCCAACAAGAAATATCTCGGAACTTGACAGCCCGCCCTGCGATGACAAAGTATATCATGTCTGTGCTCATTCCGTCTCTAGCCCCTCTGATACGACTGCCAAAGGAGGTGCCAGCGGCCGGGGTATTTCCTTTCTGCCAAGTGCTGACAGCTTGGCTGGCGTCACATTGGTGATGGCCAGAGGATTGCTAGAACCTGGCCCACAGAAGAGCTTCAGTTTAGCAGATCCATCCACTAGCATATTATAAAACAGCAGCTTAAAGTCTAGCTGACTAATTAGGTCCCCAGGTTAGAATATTGGTTTCAGTTTTAAATGCTTCTTTTCTCGCCTTCTTTCCAATCCTGTAGGCTGTCTCAGTCTAGGCTTGGATTGTGTAGCAATATTCAGCAGACTAAGTGGCTGTAACAGCAACTGCCCCAACACCTAGCATGCTTGAAAAGTGTTAGAAAATATTATAAATATTGTAAGTGCTCTAAAAGGAGATGGTAATTTTCAGCTTTTCAGCTTAAAACAACCTCAATCCTGGACATGATTCTAGGAAGTACAAATAAATATTGGTTAACTCCATTCCCAACTTTTTACGTTGTACGACACCCATCCGCGTAGGAGGGAAGGAAAAGAAAGGATGCACATTTGGAAGAGATTTAATAAGCATTTCCCTGCTCCTGTTCCCTTCCCAGCTGCAGAAGCCGGTGCCCGAGCTGCAGTGTAACATTGCCACCAGGCGGGCGACCGCTCCTGCTTGGCGTCCAGCCCCACTCCTCCGGGGCGGTTTGGCGAAGCTGGAAGGGCCCGTGCCCCACAGAGCCGGACCCCGGACAGGCAGGCGTTGTGCGAGGGTGCTCGCAGGGCCGCTGGCAAACCCCGACCTTCTTAGGCAGGATGCCGGCGGCGGCTGGGGTTTGGTGTCGGAAAGCTGGCAGAGGGAAGGGGAAGAGAAAGGCAGACCAGGCTGCCCAAGTGAGTAAAAGAGTTTCAGAAATGTCACTGGTTTCCCTCCCCTGCACACTTTTTCTGAACGGACTCTTCTTCACTGGTGTGAACACCCTGCAGCCATCGTGCACCTGGAGAGACGCGCGCTCACTGCGGGCAAGGCTGGGATGACACCGGCTGAGCACGCAGCGAGACATCAGGAAGCAGGTTTAGTATTCCAGGCAGCGAGGGCTGACCGAGGCCCCGTCCGTTGTGCCACATCACGCCGGTGAGCAAACACCAGCGCACACAAACCTGCGCAAAACTCCCCAAGCAAGGACAATTAGGAGAAGCAGTTACTAGGCCACTCGGCTTCCTCCCTTACCGAAAGCTGGCTGTTTCAGAAACTGCAGGGACAGGGTTATCCCCAGGAGAAATCAAGGGAGCACAGCCACGAAATGTTTCACAGAGTAAAGCAACAACCTTCATAGTTGCAGCCAAAAGGAATTCTTTTTAAAACAACAAAAAACCAACAACAGACAAAATGTTTGAGGAATTAGGAAAAAAAAAAAAAAGTCCTTTTGCCATCTCAACTTTACACAGAGATAGGCCCTAGGAATAAGTGAACTAGAATAAACCAGATGATTTTTAAGGCTTTCTGAATAATGGTGACGGGGTCAGAAATCAAACACCAAAAGGCTCTGGCACGAGTTTTCACCTGAAATCTACAGTGCAGAAGAAAAGGCTATGCAAAGAATTTTGCACTTAAAATACTACCAGCAGAAAGAGGATCTCAGACTTTGCCTTGGTGTTGGTATTTCACCTAGCTGTCCTGGGGGTAACTCATCACATCTACAGTGACTTCAGTTACTTCTGTGATCATATGTGTGATAACATAATATGTCTACAGCAACCTCAGTTATTAATGCAAGTTTCCTGGGGAGAAATTTAACAGCAATGGAGAAATCAAGTTGTTGTTTAAAAGGAATTCATACACAACCAAAATCTTGGCCAAACTTCTTGCATCCACAACCAGTATTTTAAAGAAATTTGCTTTTAAGTACTAGTGTATTTCCATTCAGGAGAAAGATAAAATTTTTCCTTACTCCAAGTTAAGTTTAAAAACTCAGATGGCAAAACAATATTAGGAATATCATCAGCATTGAGTTTTGTTGTTTCAATTAATATCCTGTTGATACTATCATGCTACAAAAAGATGGGCACTGTATTTCATATGGAAATACATTTTTTTGTTAAACTGATGCATCATTATCTCACTCTCCCACTACTCACTCGTGCAGTGCCTTTTGAACTGCAACTCTTCTGGAAGAGAAAAGAGGAATGGTTAAGGTTCTATTCTTTTGGCAACCTATTGTTGAGAGAAGACCTTGGAGCAAATACAATTTTTCTTTATTTTACACTGGCAGCTGTTTTGAGAGGGATCATTTTCACAGTCTCATAGGCAGGTAAAGTTATTGTACAAATGTTAGACTTTTAACAGTATTCAAAGCACCAAAAGCCAAGCATTAGCTCCAAAGATGTACTTTATTTCATTATAAAGCAGATTGTTTAGGCATTATTTCTTTTTGTGAACATCCACCATATGATCAGCAGGTCCTGCTTCGAGGACATAGCTGCTTGATAAAAGACTTCACCACTAGACAACAAAAATACAGATGCATAGAACAAGTGCTGCTTAGACACTGAAGAGCCAACAGTCTAAACTGCAACCAGTTCAGACGATATGACCAAAAATACAAGTACAGCTCCAGCCCAGCCAGAGCTGCATGCCCAAAAGTGGAGTCCTTTTTATTTCAAAACAAAATTTGTGTTGGGCTCCCTGGAAAAACAGCAACCAAAAAAAAAAAATCATCCCCAAACTAGAATCACCACACCACGCTCCTTCCCTCTCCTTTTAAAGTCACTTTTTAACTGTCCCTTATTTCAGACCAAAATTGTGCTGTGGCATACTAGTACTTTACAAAAGACAGAAATATTACTGAATATAGTATGAAGCAATAGTGAAGGGTTGGTAGTGAGCATTTCACAGATACTTTATCCCAGTACTTTTGCTTCTTTTCCAATTGTGATCATCACCCCAGGAGTTTCACTTTTATTGATAGGTGTATCTCATTCCAAATTTGCAGATTTCTCACGCATTTGGTATTTGAGCTCAGTGCATTAACAAGGACTTCTGGATGTTGTCTGTGCTCCTTGGGTACGTAACAGAGTCCCTTCAACTCCAAGCAGAAACGGTAATTCATATACTGTCAGCCCAACACACAAAAATGCACAGAAGGCATGTTGATGCAGTGTAGAGAAACATTCCAACATTGTCAGTCCTCATTCTGGTTTCCGTGTTGTCCAATACTGATTGAGGAAAAGTGTATTTACAAGACTTGGACACAAATATTTGCATTTGGTCCTAGGCACCTGATTAGTATTGACAATCTAAATGAAAATGGAAAATTAAGTATTGTTCTGGTCCATTAAAACCTTTTACTGTAACCTCTCCAATTTGAAGGTGTGCTCTTCAAAAAAAGGAGGAGTCCCAATACCTTCTGAAAAAGTACTTTTCTACGCACAATTTAAATCAGTGAGATTACAGGATGGAAAAGTCTTCTACATAAGCAACTTCCAAGAGTTATCTGACAAGGGTCTCATATCTAGTTCTATAGAAAAAGATGAGTAACATACATTCTTTTCACACTTCTTGGTGGTAACAAGACTCAAAATTCACTAGATATGAGTAGTCAGGTAACATCCCAATTGCTACAAGACCAGAATTTATCCATGAGGGAAACTTAGCTTTAGCAAAGAGCACAAGTAGACTGGCATCTAAGCAACCATAACATCCATTTCTTTCAGCTAGCATCAGAACTAGAAGTACTACCACTAATGGCAATGAAAGCTAATTAGAAGGTTTTACAAAGCTGCCGATATGACCAAGTTTCAAAGTCGCAACTCTTAGGCACAGACTCTGGCAAAATCTAGATTGACCTGAGTTTTCTGCTTATGGAAGAGGGGTGGTGGGAAAGAACACATTCCTATCTTGTACAGAAACTTGACAACAGTCTCAAGCCAATTTTCGACATCTGACAAGGTCTAGCATAGTAAGTACAAGACAAAACATATGGAATTAGAGATATCATTTAGTAAAAAGAAACAACTGCCTTCTAAATCTGCCATACTGAAAAAAAAACCCAAACACAAAACTGAACATATTAAACACTGTTTGTGCTTACAACCATGATTATGGAACTTGAGCATTAGTGGGAGATATTTTTCTCACCACTACTGCAAAGGAGCTGCAAAAACAAGTTAAATGGAAAAAAAAAATCCCTTCCAAAGATTCACTTAAACATTTATTAAAACCTGCAAAGGCTTCAGGTATACTAAATTTGAAAGGGGCTCAAAAAAATTTCAAGTCATTGAACTAAATCCAATTCAGAAAGCTGATTCTCCTAAAACATAATTACAAAACAATTTTCTTAAAAAAAATTTTTTTGCACATTTTTCCTCATCAATTTATAAAATGCAAACAGTATGCTAGAAAAGTTTGAACATAAGGGAATGCGCTTTGGAAACATTATTAAAATATGTGTTCCTATAGAATGACATTATCAAGTTTATGTTACTTCTTTTCACCTGCCTGGCTATATTTTGAGAATGTTCCTCCCCTCTTTCCTGGGTCCATGAGAAGCTAGGTTTAGAAAAGAAGAGCTCCCATACTGCCAACTTCACTCTGTTCCTTTACAAAAATTTCGAAGTACTGATAAATGATAGTGACAGCAAGCAGAATTCCAGTTCCAGACCCAATTGCCCCAAGGAAATCTGCCAACACAGAGAGGGCACCAATACAGAGACCACCAAATGCAGCAGCGGTAGGGATGTACCTGTAAAACACAAAACGGGCATAGAAAAGGTGCCATTAGGGTTTGCTCAGGATATTAACAAATATACCAGGGTTAGTGGTATATGGGATCTATGGAAAGTATCTAAATCACAGGTGGGTTTGTTTCCTAGAAAACCAATCCCGCTGAGAACAGAAAGAACACTACAAGGATAATCTAACCAGGTGGTTAAAAAAAAAACAAGAATGAAAACTACATGAATGGGAAAAAGTCAATGGCAGAATATTCTCTTCTCTCATGGGTCTACAATCCAAGATAAGGAACACGCAATAGTGACAGTACACTAGGTAAGGAAATAAATGCTCAATGTGACTAGAGGGAAAAAACACTAAGCTGAGAAGAGAAGGTATTACAGTCTACCATGCAATTAAGCACAGAGATTAAGCTTATGGCTACTAGCTCTTCCAATCATTTGCAGATGACTGAAATCTAAAGTTACAATAACATTTCTGTAACGTGAAGGGTGCATAGGTCCTACCCTGCAATTAGAAAACGTAGAGAGACCAACCCCTGCCTACCTCTGCATCTAATAGATTTAAGTAACTACTTGCTTCAGAAGCAAGGTCTGCATGAAAACAGTACTCAAGACATAACAAGACATTAAAAATTACAGCAAAAAAATACTTGTGTGTCAGTTTGAAGTAGTACACTCAAATGCTAATTATTAGCTATCATATAAAAAGTATAAAAATGAAAAAAAAAACCCCAAAAACAGGAAAATACAAGCTCCAGAATTGAAGGCACATTCTCTAATTATAAGGCAAGAATATGCTGTACTGCACAAGTCTTTCCATTAATGAAACAATATTCTCTGTCTCATGCATGTAACATTGAAGCTGAAAGAATATCTGTGTTCTAGGATCTAGAAAACGGAAACCAAACCAAAATTTGCCATGCATTTCCCCATAACAATTTGCATAAATAGCCTGTGAAATGTGTAGCTCACCTGTTTAGTTCATGTACCATTGAAGTTTCTCTGTGGCCTCGCATTACCATTTGTTGTTCTTTCAATTGTTTGGCAACCTGTATTGAATCAAGGAATGGAACAAGTAAGTTTAGTGTCATCTGCCAAGGCCACGGAACTTAGCACTACAGGAAAACAGAAGCAAGACATTTCAGTAAATGATGGTGGGTTTGGGATTTTTTGTATTGTTTTGGTTTTTTGTATTAGTCATCTGAGTTTAAAATATCCGGTATTTTTAACTTCAGACAGATTACAGTCACAGGCACTTTTCCACACCGTCAGTTATGCAAAGCTTTTTGTATAATTCTGGTCCTATTGAGAAAAAGAAACTCTGGAAACTGGTAGGCTCTCATACACGCCATTCAATTCCTGTTTTGCCACCTACCCTTCTCCTGGTTAGGGTTTAGATGTTAGCAAAACCATCCTATGAGGTGTCCACTCCATTTCAGTTTCCTGCATTCAGTTGAGCTAACTATTGGTGGGGCCACATTAGAAACTATTCGACTTAGAAAGAATCCCTTCTTGGAACATTATTCTTAAATTGGATTTCTGCAATTGTACAGAGTTACAATAGAGACCTGCAAACATTCTACTAACAACTGAGAGGAATGAAACTCTAGCAGGGGAACTTCTGAAGGTGCTTGTCACCGAATCTAACATACTGACAAAACACATTTTCATATTATTAAGCTACCAGTTTTCCACTATATAGTGAACATTTAAGTAACGATTTATCAATTTTTATTTCTGACCTTGTTTACGTGAACTTAAAATAATTTTATTCAGTATCAGGAAAGTATATTAAAGTGTTAAAAGCTGTATGTCGGTTTATACTGAAATAAAAATCTGGCTATACATGGCTGCAAGTGCCTCCCTGCATGCCTGACAACAAGCAGCTAGATGCAAGTCCAAAACAAGAGAGTGCTCATGCTGTTACTGTAACTGTGCAACTATTACATATTTGTGAAAGAATGGATTAAACCATTCCATATGGCTGCCAAACTTGATTTCCTACCCAAAACCACATAATACAAACATACCACGATGACAACTATTTTCCATCTTGTCTTCCAACTCCAATTTCAGAATTATACAGTTGCTGAATACCAAATATCCTCTAGCAAACAGAAATTTTGAGAAGCTAGGCTCAGGTACATTAATGCACTGCACTATATTCTGTGTTACCAGTGCTCTCAAGTTAAAAATAACAATCTCTAGTTAATCTTCCCCCAAAAGAAGTTAAGAACTCTCTATGCCAGGCATGGGCATTCAAGCTTTACCTGCAAGTTCTTAAGTGGTAATGCACTGCCTTGCACATGGTGCATCTGTCATTTGGCACCAAAAGAGTTTCTACCTTTCCTGCTACCTTGCCTGCCCTCAGACTGATCAGATGTCACATAGCAATGTTCAAAGTTTCCTGATGCCAATGAAAGCAATTATTTAAGTTTTGTTGCTGCTGTTTTTGAAAAAGCAGTAAACAGGGAAAAAAGTTACCTCCATTCTGCCCTCATCTTCTCCACTTACAAGAAAGACATAAGCACTGTTTATAGGAATGATAAATATTACCAAGGAGATGACCAGCATCATAGCTTTTTCAGAAGAAAGTCAGTCTTATTCCTACAACAGCCCATCTGTTTTCACCACGTAAGCTTACTTAATTTATATTTTAAACTTACATCTTTGGCAGAGGAGCCAGAGACTTCAATCCACGTCTTGGAGAAGAACGCACAAGAGCCCAACATAAATACAATATAAACTACTGCATGTACAGGGTCTTCCAACACTGAAGAAAAGGACTCTGGAGGTGACAAATAATAACAAAGTCCACCAACTGGATAAGCACGAGCAGGGCCTCCAGATGACGTGTCCTAGAAGAAGGAAGCAAGCAGTCACCAACTTTCTCACTACGTCTTTGCCATTAAGCTAAGCCTGGGTTTATATCACGTTCATGTCACTGTGTATCATCACCACTACAGCAACACACAAAGATTCAACTATACTATCACAGGCAGTTTCTGAAGTGGAAATGGAATACAGTAAGGAACAGCAATAATACCTAGGACAGCAAAGAACAGCACAAGGTAAAGGTAAATGGAGACCCAACATCTACACTCATCGAGGTCTCACACTCTATCATTAATTTAAACAAATTACTGGTTTAGAGTTTTCAGTGTACATAACCACCTGTAGAAGTGCCTTATTCTAATATTTAGAGACACCATCTCTTCAATCATGAATGGTGTTCTTACAAAGCTGTATGCAAGATTAGAAGGAATACTCACAGACCAAGTGCCCAGCAGGCTAACCAGCAAGTTGCCACTGAAGCGAGCAGAAAGCATCTGGGAGATGACGTACAAGTTTGACACCAGCGCAGACTGAAGAATAATGGGAATATTGGAAGTATAGAACAGCTTGATAGGGTAGGTGTTGTACTGGCCACGGTAGCGAGCAGATTTGATAGGAAGATCCACTCTGAAGCCCTGAAAAGTTTTCAAAAGAAAGTCTCCCATTATATCTGGACATGAACCCATACCACAAGTCATAAATTGCAAGTGCAAGGCCTTGACTGCAACAGAAAAAACATGTGCAATCATTTTGTGCAAGTACACATGATCCACCCAGAGGGCTATCCATGTGAACTCTTCTGTAAAGGGCCTGGAAGCCTGCAGGGTTGTCTAAACACACACATATGAGAAGGTATGAAAGATGTAGATATCGGAAGAAATCTGAACTTTCAAGAAGACTGAACATAACATCCAGGAAAAGAAACATTACAACTTACCATTTGTTGCAGCAAAATGCTGAAGACCATAGAAAGAGACACACAGGCTTAAAGACTTCAAAGTATTTTCCAGCAAAAAGCAATAGCATTTGGGTTAGGCAATATTACATGTATGCATTCATCTGGTTTTTGGTTTGTTGGTCCCCCGCCTCCGTCCCCGAAACTAAAGTAGGTCTCAAGTCTTTTGTGTGGCTACAGTAAACGTGGAAATTGATTAAGAGAAGCTAGTGCTAAATGAACATCCAGATGTTACAGGTACAAAAATGAGTCTTCTGAAGGCTTTAGAAAGTAAAAAGGTAATTTCCTGTAGAAGGAAGCAGATTACAGATCTACTTCCACACACACAGTTTCACAGTCCTCTTTTACTGCAACTGACCTGGAAATAAATTACAATAGCAAAGACAAAGATGGTGGCAATCAGATTCATAAGGTTGGGTAGATTCTGACGGTAAAAGGCCTCACGAAGAGCTCTGACTTTGTCTGTGCGAGTAGCCAGAAGATGGAACAGAGCAATGATGGCTCCCTCAAATTCCATGCCTTGGAAAGGAAAAGAAAACCCAAGTTAGGTGTGCTGCGATGAACTCCAAACTTCAGTGCTTTGTCCCATTAGGCACACTTCTGAACTACAGGATTCAGAATGGGATTTCTCCAAGTCTTTTGCATCTCGAGCATTCTCTCAGACTTTTACTACTGTCATCCTTCATGCCAACTATATTATTTCCAAGATTTTTTTTTAAATACCCCTGTAGGGGCCTAAAAACTAAATGATAACCCAACAATCAAATGGAATAACTTTATTGGTCTCTAGAAACACTGACATTCACCAAGTTTTTTCCCCCTTTCCTCTTCCCCACCAAAAAAAAGATAAAGAGGCAGCGTGCTTTCTAGTATCATTCATGGTGAGACACTAGTTATTGTTTGTACTACAGCAAATGTGATAACCTCACTTATGTTTTCTATTATACAGCATCAAACAAGTTCACCTCTTGTCAGGTCTGAAGAATAAAGTCTTTGGAGCAAAGAGTAAGAAATGCAAGGAGCGGAAAGAAAGAGGTGATATTTGTCAATATGTTGGGCAGCAACTGTAATAGGCAGTCTACCACTACAGAGTTTTAACGGAGGCAGTGTAAGAAATTCAAGTTGAGGAAATGTCTTGTGAGATACTACAAAATCAAGAAGAATTGTCTTTGTACTTGCACCTTGCATAGGAGCATTTGCTGTATCAATAAGATTCACTACATGGCAACTACACAGCTAAGATGCCAGTAATAGCATTTGCCATTTAACATACTAAAAAAAAGATTTTGCCTTTTTGTACAAAATTTTTGTAAAGAAAACTGACTATGCCATATTACCTCGTCCTGTGTTCACCGTGGTGGGGCTGAATGCTTTCCACACAATAGTCTCACAGATATTGGTAGCAATGAAGAGAGAGATGCCAGAACCGAGACCGTATCCTTTCTGTAGGAGCTCATCCAAGAGCAGAACTATCAATCCAGCAACAAAAAGCTATAGTAAAAAAAGAAATACAGCATTAGCCCCAACCCTTTTAAGTTTTTGTTAAAAAAATAGCTTGTATTAAAAGAGAAGGAAAGACTATATATACATACAAGGAAGCAGGTACACTTTGATCTTTTTTTTCCTGCATGTGGGGCAGGCCATCCATAAGACTGATTTTTTGAACCTTCAGAGTCGAGAGGACTAGAAATTACCTGAATTGTGATAAGCAAACAGATGCCAGCACCCATCTCAGATGGGTCTCCATACATTCCAGTCATTACATAGACAATAGACTGCCCGATGGTAATGATCATTCCAAACACTGTAGAATAAAAAGAAAAAAGTATGTATTTGTTTTGGAGATTTATGTCAGTGGGCAATTAGAGAAATAGAAATCACTTCTTCGTAGAGAAAGTTGGGAAGGAACACAAGTCACAGGACATTTAAATTCAAGGCCAAGTTAAGTTGTCTGAAATCTGGCACTGAAAATACAAATACAGACAAGACACTCCAGAAACAAATACACTTAGAAGCAAGTGGGTTTGATTACTGACAATTGATTTAGATATTGAAGACTCTGAGGGTGTTAAGATATTACTTTAGTGGTTTATGATTCTTTTTTCCAGTAAACAGATCATTAAGTACTGTGCTACAGCATCAAATAGCTAAAGGATACCCAAATTTTACCAACTGAGCACAGAGATCTCTTATTGCTGAGAAAGAACCATGCTTGAAACTGCAAGGTAAAAACAACTACAACAAACATCTTAATCAATATAAACTTCTTTAGGTTAACACTGACCAACACAGTTCAAAGGTTGGTCCCCACAGTCTACATATTTCTTAGTTTATCTGGTGAGATTATGGCAGCAATGACAATTGCACAGATATTTTTCCTTTCTAAACCTTTCTGAAGCTTAACAGCTAACAAGTCAGAGAGCAGTCAGTAAAAGACTGATGAAATACAGAAATCTGTAGCACAACACGAAAACGTAACATGACAGAAACCCATGTATCTGCTTCCAACATTTATCAGATGGTAAGTTTACACTTTCTATTGTTAGGGTTAGATACTCTAAAACATCAGCTGTTACTCACATTTCTGTGCTCCGTTGAAGAGAGCTCTGTCCTTTGGGGTGTCACCAACTTCAATTATCTTAGCACCTGCCAAGAGCTGCATGATGAGCCCGGAAGTGACAATAGGTGAAATGCCCAGCTCCATCAACGTACCTGCCAGACACAGGAAGAACAATGAAAGAAAATAATGGGATATACCATACCCAGGCACCTTTGAAGTTCAAAGCCTGTTTTTTCCACCCTTTACATCATGATGGAGAAGATCAAAAACTCCAAATCCCCATAAATGTAAAAGGTTTCAATGATAACAGAAGCTTGTTAAAAGTCAGCCTGACAAGCAATGCAGTACTCCCCAGTACCTTAAAAACTATGTTTGCTGAAAAAGACTTTTATTGTCAAGAACATATTTACTCTGCGTAAAACAAGGTTGGAATTTGCTTTCTGCTTTTGATAATCAGTTATTTTATTATTCATAATTTTAAACAGGAAAACCCAAACTTTTCTCAGGAATGCACCAAGTTGTATACATGCATATATGCACATCTCATTATGATATAAACTGATAGATAATCCAAATGGTATATAAATTTACACAAGCTATCATGAATTTTAATCTTCTGTGAGACAGATTCAAAGATGTCACCCAGAAAACCACAACACACATATAATATCGTTTGAAGCACAAATCAAAAAGCTTGAAATACATACAGAAGATCGCAACAGCAGCAATGCAGGTAATTAGGAACCATCTCTTCCCTAACCCTTTTCCCTCCAAAATGCTCCTTGATTTTTGTACGTATAATAGATTGCACACAGCCAACCATAAACTCATCTTGTCTACAAAGTTGTGCTTTTCCTAATGCCACACTGGTTTATGATTTTACATAATATATAAAATTACTTTCCCCCCTCTACTTCAGTTTTTATCTTCGTTAAAATAGAGTGCAATATAAGAAGAGTCCAAAAATGGTTTGTTTCAAGCTAAAAAAATGCCCTCCTGAAAGACTGACCGTACCTCTATTTGATGCCAAAATCACTCTCATCCAGTAGAATGGATCTGCTGAGTCTGATGACATGATACCAAACAAGGGAATCTGCATTTCCAACCAACAGAGGAAAACAGGATTAAATTAGAGATTTCATAACATTCTTTAAGCATTTCAGCTCTTCCTTAAAAACAAGAGAAAGAAACATACCTGGCAGCATACTAAGAAAATGAAGAGTGTGATAGCTGTCCATAGTACCTTTTCCTTAAACTGAATCTAAAGGAAAAAAATCCCAAGAATCAACAACAGAAGATGATTAAGCAGTGAAGATAAAACCTAGTCAATCAGACAAACTTTCATAGTAGCTAAAGCACACTTGATTTTCTTGTGAAGGGACAAAGTACAGGACATCCTAAAGCAAATAACTCATCCTTTTGATATTATACAAGGCCAAGGAAGATGAAAAAACTTTATTGAAACTTTAATCCAAATAAACAAGCTTATGCCAATGGAAGGTAATTCTAGTACTGACATAGAAATGAGTCTTACATTTTCATAAGAAAGAGCTTTTGGTGAGAAAAAAAATAATAATATAGAGAAACTTAGCTTAGCTTAGATTAGAACTTAAGAAGCAAAGATTTTTAAGTTGCTACTTTCAACTACTCTAGTTTACACTCCAATATATAGTGCTTTCAACATCTCATCGCTTACTGCTATGGCATAACCATATCTGCATAATTGCATTTACCAGTAAATATATTCTTGTACAACCATATCCACAGTACAGGATGTACTAGACAAGTTCTCCACTGAAAACAATTGTGCCTAAAACTGCCATTCTCCCCCCAGGAAAAAAAAAAAACAAATCACACAGATGCAAACTAAGCTGTAAACATTTTCTATTATACGAATACAAACCTACGAAGAAAATTCTATTAACTTACCTTCCGTTCTGGCTTTTGAATTTCAGGCAAGATAACACAGAAGGGCTTGATTACTTCAAGAAATTTTACTGTATGGAAATTAGTTAAAAGACAAAGTGTTAAAAGACACAGATAGAAAGAACATTGGGAAAAGCTCAAGTAAAATTTAATTTGGACATGGACTTTATATATTAAAAGTCCCAGTTAAGAACAAAGGTTTGTTGTTGTGTGGGGTTTTTTTTAAATTAAATTCTTATCTGTTCAAAATATACAGAGATTCAGCTACTATGGTGTAAGTACAGTATAGACTGGAAACAGAAGGAAAAAAATGTCAAGAGTTCTCTCATTTCACTGAGTAGTTTTACAGAGCAAAAAAACCCTTGCCATTGTTTTGCATGAGTTTATCAATACCCTTGAACTTTTATTGAATAATAGCTTCTCCCCTAGCCTGATATTTGGGAAATACAATACCCAAGGTTGTTTTAAGTCAAGTGTTACTTTTGGGCCACACTGCTTAAGAATTCTTACACACTGTTCATAAGCAACAATACAAGTTACTTTACCTAAAGTCTCATGCAATGATCTCCTCCTAGTCAAAAGGGCATATTCTTAGATCAGAAAAGTCTCAGCCTTACAATAAGCATACAAAAGAAGAGGGTATCGGCAAAGTCACAAGTTCTCCTATGAGCAGAGAGATCTGATTTTGAACACAGTTTATGCTAAACTTCTTAAGACAAATCTAAGACTGCACACATATTTTGGACTGATTTGAACTAAAAAGCATACGATGATGCAGAAGAACTGGTGGCTGTCCACTTTTCAGAAAGCAGCAACTTCAGCGTCAGTTTTGTAACACTTTAAGATCAGCCCATAAAAATTATTTACTTAATTTCAAACGATTAATTGCCTGGATTGTGGTTTTAAACTTAAAGCGAATGGTGATTCTCTTCTACAATTACAGTAATATACCAATTGACTAAGATGCTTTTCAAGCAGCTCTTCCTCTAGGTAGCAGACTCTGAAGACTTCCATTCACTCGGATTACTTCCAGGCTGCAGATCACCGTTTATAGCTCACTCTGCCAGTGTAACTGAAAGCGTTATGACCGATCACCAACTTGACAGCCCGCCTCTCCCTGCCTCGGCACCGCACCAGGCACACGCCAGTCCGGGATGGGCGGCCTCGAGTGCCCAGCCGCCGGGCACCACCGAGCAAGCTCCCTTCCCTAGGAAGATCTGCCATAACCAGGAAATGGGTCTTTCACAGCAAAAAGGGAAACAAATAAAAATCCCGAGGGAGCCTCTCAACCAGAAGGGAAACCGGCGCAGGGCCGG